ATTGTAGTTGGTTGTGGAAGTTCTTCGATTAAGAAATGAAGAAAATTAATATTTTAAATAACCATTTTATTTTTTCACAAACCCTCCTTAAAAAAAAAAAAAAAGGAAACAAACTTTTTTTCAACATGTTTAAATGAATGAAATTTCATATTTATTTATTTTTTTATTTTAAAAACCAATTTTCTCTTTTGTATTTAAAAATATTTATAATTTTTTATTCTTTTAATATATATATATATATATATATATATTTTATCTATTCCACCTATGTAGTGTGCATAGGGTTAGTTAAAGTTCTCGACAGTTACATTTTCCTTCAAAGCGCCTCCTTTTTCTTTTCGAGTCCTGAACAAATTTTACTTGCTCTTCACTCATTCTCATAATCCCTGGAAAGAGAATATCCTCTTCTTCGCCGATCACTGGAGTCCCGTCTACGCCGTACTTTGACTGATAAGCTAGGGTTACGGCGATATATTTTCTGGCTTTTTTTTTTCTCCTTTTTCATTTTATTCTTCTCTCTCCCGAAAAATGGCTTCTGAGGATGTGAAAGGGAGTGAGTCGGCGGTCTCGACGATCGTGAATCTGGCGGAAGAAGCGAAGCTCGCTAGGGAAGGAGTTAAAGCGCCGAGTCACGCGTTCCTTAGTATTTGCAAGTCTCTTGTTGCTGGTGGTGTTGCCGGTGGAGTGTGAGTCCCTTTGTTTTCTAAGATCCACTTTTTTTTTTTTAAATATTGACGTATTTAAACCATATTTTTACTTTCTTTTGAAAATTTTTATGTTGTTTTAGTTTCTTCAATATTGACAACGAAAAGGAGCTTTCTTTTTCCTTCTCGTTTTTGCTTTGTTCATCTGATTTATTTTTTTTTCCACTTTTAGAAAACAATTTTTTATATTATTTTTTCTTGTGAATTCATTTCCCTGTTTCTTAAAGCACTGATTTTTTTAAATAGAACTTGTTGATTTTGAAGGTTGAAAAATTATCTTTCTTTTTTCCTCTATCTATATGTTTAATTCTTTCTTGCAACTACTAAATTTTGAACCTTTTCTTTTTCTAATCATACTCTGATTTTGTAAATATTTAATTGCGACCTCTTTTTTGCTGGTATTTTTGAAGAAGGGATGATAACCATGTGCAGTTCACTGTATTGTATTAACTGCTAATGATGTGGAAATTCTCCGAGATGCAAAATGTTTGTTTAAATTAACATTTAATCTGTTATAGAATAATAGTTTAACGTTTCTTGTTTCTTAGAAAAATCCCCTTTTCCCCTTTTAGGATTTTACTGGAGTTGGTAGTTTAGGATTTTAATAGGTTTTCATGTATTTAACAAGACTTTCTTGTTAATATGGTTGCTCTCTTTTCATATATTTCCACTCTCAGTAAGAGGTACGGGAGTTTGAAATGCTCTTTAAACTTCGTGATAGTGAGCATGGTGGCATTTGATGCTTTGAGAAATTTGATGGTAACTGTTATGGTCTTGGTGCTAGTTGTGAGGATTGAATGGAGGACCTGAGGGAGGATTGAATCTTGTGATGTTGATAGGTCAAGAATATAGTCATTCTTTGTCTAAAATGTTTGCTTGCAACTTTTGTTGTCTGAAAAATAGTAGGAATTGATGGAAGATCAGAGAGAGAAATATTACCATGCTGATATTTGGATGGTTTTCTTCATTTAACATGCTTGCACCTTGTGCTAGGATCATGTAATACTGCTGTATCTTTATTGTGTTAGGAATTGGCATCATGCTTGACTTACCATTTCCATTGCCAGTTTGCATTTACTGAATGCGTATGCCTTATCCATTTCAGGTCCCGTACTGCTGTTGCTCCCCTAGAAAGATTAAAAATTTTGCTTCAGGTAGTTTTTTTTATCATAGTCATTTGGTCCTTATTCATTAAGTTCTAATTTTATTTTATGCTATTAGGTTATATTCCAATGCCTGTTTCACTATTTGTCTCATCATTTTTCTAGTGTGAAGATTCTACTTAATGTCTACTCATGGTTTTGTTAATGGTGTTAATAGTTAGAGCTTTACACGTGTTGTAGGTTTTTCCTAGATTATCTGCATTATAGTATTGGTTTCTTTCTTTGATAGAGTGTAGACTGATGGGACTTCCTTTTCAAACCTGCAGGTTCAGAATCCTCATAGTATAAAATACAATGGAACAATCCAGGGTTTGAAATATATATGGAAAACTGAGGGTTTCAGGGGAATGTTTAAGGGCAATGGTACTAATTGTGCTCGCATCATTCCTAACTCAGCAGTGAAGTTTTTTAGCTATGAGGAAGCATCTAGGTAAGCCTTGGAATTTCTTTTCTTCACTATTAACCTGCAGTTGTTGTTATCACAATTTTTTTCCACATCAGTTAAAGGATGCACATGTTAGTGTTCAAAAAGTGATGACTTTTTTTTGAATAACTGTATACAAAGTATGAACTAATCTATTCAATTTTATATCTTTTTGAATGCAGGGGGATTTTATATCTTTACCGGCAGCTATCAGGAAATGGTATGCTTCTATCTTTTTTTTTTCTTTATAATTATTTGCTTTTTCACTCAACCACTTGTCAATGTTCTTGAGATTTGAAGCTAATTGGTATGATTCAATTTCATTGACTCTGCAATTATTGAGGCGAATTTGTCCTGCTTGTGAACTTATTGTTCTGCAATCTGATTTGTGTCAAAAGAAACAAGTGAACTGGATTATATTGACAAAAGCTGTGCATCTATACATGCTTTCTGTTGGCATGTAGTACCAGTGAAGTATGGGAATGAATCTTGTATTGGTGCCTGTAGTGCTATTCTCTTGCTTCAACTAATTCATGTTTTTTCTGTCTAGAATAGTGCTGAATGGGGGAAAATGGGATCTGTTATAAGGCCCTGTGGAAGAAGATGAGTTAGCATTCTATGGTAATTATTGATGTTTGTCGTTAGCATATTTACTTATTACTTTCTTCGTTTAATTCGTCTTGCAGAGGATGCTCGACTTACTCCACTTCTACGCCTTGGTGCTGGTGCATGTGCTGGAATTATTGCCATGTCAGCCACTTATCCAATGGATATGGTACGAGGTCGTCTAACTGTCCAGGTAATTTTTTGAGTTTGTTTTTGGGACCTTAATTTATTTGAATTTTGCCTTTAGGGACAGGCTTGCCTCTTCTTATCACTTTGACGGCTAACATCCACATGTTATATTGGCAGACTGAGAAGTCACCTCGCCAGTATAGAGGAATCTTCCATGCTCTTTCAACAGTATTAAAAGAAGAAGGTCCCCGTGCTTTATACAAAGGCTGGTTACCATCTGTAATAGGAGTTGTAAGTAAAACTTTTGTGCTCTGGATGCCTGCATAGTTCACTGTCAATTGCAGTATAGAATCTGCATTCAGATGGATGTAGACTTTTGCTAGGACGATGAGTTCCATTTCTGGTCTGCCTGAACTTGTGTGTGTCTGTTTGCTTTTGTATTGGATACAGCTGTTCATTGGAAAACAATGGAAGTCCAATATCTGATCATTTTCACTTTATATCTGTTTTGACCTTTAAATAATGAAAGAATCTTTCTCCTTATATTTGTATGCAAAGGCCTAAACGATTTTTTATAATGTTTATAGGTACCCTACGTCGGTCTTAACTTTGCAGTTTATGAATCTCTGAAAGACTGGTTGATCAAAAGCAAAGCGTTCGGGCTAGTTGAGGACTCTGAATTGAGTGTCACAACAAGGCTTGCATGTGGGGCTGCAGCTGGAACTGTTGGCCAGACAGTTGCTTACCCTCTTGATGTCATTCGACGTAGAATGCAAATGGTGGGCTGGAAAGATGCTGCTTCAGTTGTCACCGGTGATGGGAAGAGCAAGGCCCCCCTTGAATATACAGGTATGGTTGATGCATTCAGGAAAACAGTTCGGTACGAGGGTTTTGGAGCATTATACAAGGGTTTGGTTCCCAATTCAGTGAAGGTTAGTTTAACATCTTAATCATTAATTGCATTTTTATAGGAGCATTAGCTTCTTGCATTCTGTTTGAATAAAAGTGTTTGTAGTTCATACTTCTTACCTTTTTACTTTACATCCATGAATAATAAAAGGCTAAAATATTTTTTTTAAAAAGCCCTTAAACAAAAATTAAATAATTATCTAAGCCTCTATTATTTTAATACAATCAATTGAACCTTCAAACATTTATTTTCATCCAATTGCGTCCTTAAATATTTATTTTCACCTAATTAAGCTATTGACCAGACGAAAATGAATGTTGACAAAAAATAAATATTTTAGAACTTTAACTGATTACAAAAAATAATAAGAGTTTGGATGATTATTTAATTTTAGTTTAGAGACTTTTTTTTTTTATACTTATGCCACAATAATGCCATCTTCTTCAGGTGGTTCCATCAATAGCAATTGCTTTTGTGACATATGAGTTGGTGAAGGATGTTCTTGGAGTCGAGTTAAGAATATCTGATTGAAGGAACTCCCAAGATTTTTGGTCAATCTTTTGTGTTCATTTTGGTGAGCATAAGAGGAAGGAGTATGGCATCAAGGAATTACTTTGCTTCTGAACGTAGGAGGATATTTATAGCCCCGCTTTCATCCATTTCTTCCTCACTTGCTGCCATCTTCTTCAGTCTTCAGCTTTCTTAAATCTTACTCATATCTGCTGTGGCAATAAGTATTTTTCAGGTGGTTATCAGAAAAATATTATATTAAATTATATTCTGATAGATCTCTTTTTTAGTGAATTTAAAATTTTCTGTTGCCAAGTTCTATTGGTGATTATTATTGGTACATCATTTATGGCTAATAGGATGAAAAATACGACAATTAAGACTAATGGTGATGTATTTTTGAGAATTAAGAACCCAATTTTACGCGCTTTTACGGAAAAAAAAAAGTCTTTACGTTGTTGAAATCGATGGAAAAACCAAGGGTTTTATGAGACGTGCTAACTAAACATCACCTGAGAATGTTTTTATATAAACAGGCCAACTTTGTTGAGTGAAAATAAAAAATGAAACAATGTCAAATTATCCGTAAATGCAAAACCAGAATTAACATAAGGGAATGAAAAATACCAGGGACTTCCACTAGGTTGCCCTCTGGACTATCACAGTTTTCGAGAGTATTTCCTTCAGATCATCGCAGCGGCCGCGGTGATAATCAATCCACACGCACAGCTGCCTAATTGCCTCCCTCTTCTCCTCTCCTAAACCCAGTATACCTTGATCCTTGTCTTTCATTACTGACTCCAAGAGTTCCACCTTCTTTTCCAGATGCTTCACGGCTTTCAGCAGATTCTCCTTCTCACCTTGTTCCTTGTTTGCCTTAATCTGTAGCTTCTCAACTCTCTCTCGCAACATAGATTCTTGTTCTTTCTGATCTTTTAGTTGCTCAATCAAATTACTCACTTCATTCACCAGCCGCTTCTTTTCACTCTTTGCCTCTTCAACCCAATTTTTCCCAATCCTTAGCTCTTTCGATGTTTCCTCAACACAGTGCTCGTAGTTTCTATAGCCCTCCTCAAATTTCTGGATGACAGCTTCAAATCCGGTCAAGGTACAATTCACATTCTCTGAGATAGCATTGATCATCCTGCAATGGGCTTCATTGTTTGCAGCAACTGTTGCAGACAATGTCGCGATACTTTCTTCAAGCATTCTTTGTTCTTCCAGGAACTTTGCTTCTGCTTTTCTGAAGCTGTCTTCGTTCTCAGTTAGCAACTGTTCCGTGACTCGAAGTTTTTGGTTTGACAAGCGGAGCTTGACTTCAATGGTGTGGACGTTCTCGACCAAAGTACTGAGCTCATCTCCTTTCATTTCTAAATCTCTTTTCAAGTCTTCGACAATTTGCTCCAAATCAGCTACTATTTGATCTTTAGATTGAACTTTCTCATTGTGCTCTCCTGCCATTTCTTGCATCTTCCTTTCTGTGACTTCAATAATTGCCTTGCAGTCCTGAAATGAAGTTTCAAGTTGTTTGTACTCGTCGCTTAGCTTGTTAAACGCATCTTCTTGTTCTTTTAGCATTCTCTGATGATCTGTAATCTGGTTTATGAAATCATTTTTCTCATCTCCCTTGGCTTCCAAATCTTTTTGAAGGTCCTCAACCATTTGCTTCAGATCAGCTGCCATCTGACTTTTAGATTCAATGTTTCTATGGAATTCTTCTGACATTTCTTCCATCTTCCTTTCTGCGACTTCAAGATTTGCCTTGCACTCTTGGTATAAGCCCTCAAACTGTTTGTATTCTTCAGCCAACTTCTTATATGCCTGCCTCTGTTCTTCTAGCATTTTCTGGTGATTGTTAATTTGAGTTTCTAGCTTAGATTTCTGGTTCTCCATTTCAGTCAATCTTTCTGACGATTCTTGTTTCTCTTTCTCGAGCTGCAACTCCAGTTCATCTCTCTGGGTCTGTAGGGAATTCAACTCCTGCAGAAAATTGTTGACCTGCACCAATAGGGCTGTTAATTGGGAAGAAGTTTCATTCTCTGCGCTTGCATGTTTTTCCTGGAGAGCAGTGAACTCAAGCTCTCTTTCTGCCAATGTTTTCTCTAATTCAAAGATTTGACCCTGTAACCCCACCTTTTCCTCTCTCAACTGATTGTTCTCTTTGATTTTGGTTCTTAACTCCCCTTCCAATTCACCTTTCTGATTCTTTAGAGAGTTGACTTCAAATTCTAGATCCTTCGTTTGTGCCAGCAAACCTTCTTTCTCCTGCAGAACTCTCTGGTGATCCTCAGTCTTGCTTACTGCCTCTTCTTTTGCCTTTTCTATCTCAATAACATAATCTGAAATAGCTTGAGTTTTCCTGTCAAGCTGCACTTCCAGTTCTGCTTTCTGGCTATGCAGGGCCTCCAGCTCCTGCTGCAATGTATTTATCTGATCCATTAAGCTCTTGACTTGAGTTAATACTTCATCACTTCTAAATACTATATATTCTTCCAACTGAGCTTTCTGGGTGCTTAGGAACTCCTCGTTCACTAGCAGATTGTTGATCTGCACTGTCAAGTTCTCCACTCTAGACAAAGATTCTTTCTCATTATCCTCAAATTTCTTTGTGAGAGTCAAAAGTTCTTCTTCTTTCTTTTTAGACATCATCTCAAGTTCTGAAATTTGGGATTGCTGTCCTATATTTTGCTCTCCCAGCTGTTTTGCTTCACTTGCTTTGTTCTCCATTTGTACCTCCATATCTCTGTTTGTTGCTCTCAATAATTCCAACTCGAGTTCCAAGCTTGTTACTTGTGCCTCTAATTCTTTTATCTGAGCAGATGAATGATTCCCACGCACCTCATGCAACTCTGTGAGTGTTAAAAGTTCCCTTTCTTTCTCACCCAGTTCCTCCTTTGCCCGACTCATTTCAGCCATGAGTTGTTGTATTATGCCCTGTGCCTGCTGAATCTCATTTGAAACCTCAGAAATTTTCGACGTCAGGGATTTATTCTCCTCCCCAGTAGCATTAAGACTGTGGCTCAATTCTGAAACTTGCTGTTCTGCAGATTCCAGCTGTTGCTGCATGCTGGAAACTTTCTCCCTAAACCTTTCAAGCTCTTGCTTTAGAGTTATATTTTCCTCTTTCATCCAATCAACTTCTCTTCTGAGATCTTCTGTAAACTTCTCGCCATCTTCAATTCTTTTAACAGCAGTCTCTTTCTCTAGAATTAAGTTATTGTTTTCCCTATTCAGATCTTCCAATCTCTGATTCACCTCAGCTTCTATCTTACAAGCAATGTCCAGTTTATGCCTCAGCTCTTCATTCTGAACAGCGAGTTCTGATTTTTCACTCTTTGATCTTTCAGATTCAAGCTTCAGATTTCTGATGATTTCATCCGCTTCTTGCACCTTACTTAAAGAAGCTAGATACTCAGAATTTAAAACATCTTTTTCTTCACTTGTAGCTGTCAGCTTCCTCTTAAGGTTAGCAACTTCCAGATTTGCTGCTTCAAGTTCTTGTTTAATGCCTTCTGCTTTTTTCTGAAATTCACTTTCCGGTTGTCGATTTTTACTGCCTCCATCTTTTGAAGAATAATCAGAGTCTGAATCTGAACTTGACGAAGAAGAAGCGTCTTTTTCTTGTTTGCCATGAACTTTTTTCCTCAGCTCCCCCGTGAGATGATCATATTGTGCATAGAGATTTTGATAGTGTTTGTGAAAATCCTCAATTAACTGGACAAGTGGTTCCTTGTTGGGATTAGCTATTGAGATCCCATCACTTTCTTCAACTTCCTCATCCTTGATGAGCTTCAACATTTTTGTCACATTGTCATCAATTTCTGCAGTGAAGAGAATTTAGGCTTTGAGGTTAAAACAAAATGAAGCAAATCATAAGTGGAAAATCATGTTATGCTGATTGTCGCATTTCAGAACATCCATGAGTCAAAGTTATCACAAAAATAGAGAATTGCACCCAAAAGAATCAGCAAAAAATACCTATTTTATTTCCTTTAAGCTGTTCTTCTTTTTCTGGATCAACATGATCACCAAAGAAGGACTTGATAGACTCCCTAAAACGATGCTTGGTCATCTCTTAGTCAGATTACCGACTAGTTTTACTCTGCACATGAGCATGAAGAAAAAGCAATCTCCATCTCCAGCATAAAATCTGAAAAGCAGAACTAAGGATACCTTGTAATTAGTTCCAAACCATGTCAACCAGAAACTATACAACATACTCCTAATATGAGAGATTGATTGCAAAAGTTGTAACATATAATATCATGAGGACCCTAAACTACTGAATATTCATTAAAAAAAAAAAAAACTTAATTAAAATAGTTTAACTAAAGACTTCTGGTATTATAACAACTGACAAACTGATGGCCTTTTCAGAAGCAAATTGTCTCATTAACAATGGTATTGTTTGGATGGAGGCCCATCTTTACTGCTGGAGAAAACACTCAAAATGCTACAAACTCCTAATGAATATGAGAAATATGTGGAAAAGACTTACTTAACCACCAATGTGGTGGACCGCTTTTAGATATTACCAATTTGTTTTAAAATGAAAATGAAAGTGGTCGCTGAATAAATCCATCATGTTGTTCTATACGGGGCATCGTCCTTAAGAAACAGTTCTTCCCAAGATTTATATCAGGACTAGGAATTTATAAAGCATGCTCATACCTTGTACCCGTTTGACACAGGATAAATTACTAAATCCCAAAGTATTGCACCAATCCAACTCAACTGTTCATCATATAAATTCCAACTGAATTCTAAACAATCCAGAAAGTAACAAGAATCGACAGATATGTTTATTTTATATCCTATGATGTCAATTGTTCAATACCTAACATTTCCTCTTTTTTCACCCTTGAGCATTAAGTTTCAATAAATGCTCTGTCTGATTGATGAATCTCTCCAATAAAGCCTAAGCCGATTAACCGCTAAATGTAAAGATACAATGGCCCCAAACCCACTCCCAAATGTTCAAAATCTATTGGCCCTTACCACTAACCAACTACACCAACGGAAAATCTTAGTTTTCGCAAAATATGTACTACTACTTTCTAATTAAAAAAAAAATCAAATCCAAACCCATCTTTCAGTCAATCCAGCTCAAACTGACAATCAAAAAGCAACAATTTTTTTTCAACAATGGTTTTTCAGCTAAATAGGCTTAAGGAGTGTTTAAGAAGCACACATCAGTACAGTGGCAGATATGATTCTAGCCTGGCGCCACCTCCTCGTCACATGCACTGGGAAATAAAATCACCCACCCAGAAATGGAGAAGCTTATCTGGGACGATAAAAGATACCTATTATTTGGAAAAAGGTGAGCTGTTCTTTACTTCTTTTTGTTCTTTTTTTTTTCTGTTCATATAACGTAAGGCAAGGCCTAATCAATTATCACTCAATTACTCAACTTTTCATTGCATATGAAAAAGAAACGCTATTAAAAAAAAAAAAGAAACTGGACGTTATAAAAAACCTCCTCTTGTCTGTAATTCAAATTCTAATCCTAACACCAGGAGCCGTTTTACCATGAATTCTTTTGTTAAAAAAAAAGTAAATAAGTAAATAAACAGTACACAACAGTTGCTGTAGTAGTAATTTGGTATTATTCACCTGAGACTTTCTCTTCACTTTCCTTTCTCAGTCTTGCATTGGAAGCTTTGATTTCTGCAGAAACAAATAGATTTTTATTATTCTAATTAAAAGAGTAAAACATTCAATTTAAGATAAATAATCGAATCTAAACAATAAGTTCAAAACGAATAAAATTTGGAAAACTTTTAAAAAGAATTAAAAGAAGAAGAAAATCATTGACTTGAACTCAAAATCATGATCGTAATAACATTTTCATCTTAAATCATTTTCAATTCTGAAGTTCGCTTTGATTTTTATTTATAAAAAATTAAAACCATCTGGATTTTTGTAAATCCATATAAAATCAAACATTCAAGAGAAAAAAAAAAATCTATGTTTAAGAAAACGAGTAAAGCAAAGTTCAAATTATTTTACAAAATCATGAAAAAGAACATGAAAAAAAAAAAAAAAGAGAGAACTTAACTAGATAAAATCCAACTATCAAAACTGAAGCTACTGAAGGTGATTCGGTTAAAGATCAAAGGTCTTGAAACTGAAGTTTAAGTAATCAAAAGAAGAAGAAACTAAATGATGATTAATCAGTTGATAATCAAAGATTACCTCCGAATCAGAGTCAAAAGCTTGATTAAGAAGAAGAATCTTAAAAACAGAGCAAAAAAAAAAAACTTAGAGAGAGAGAGGGAGACTGTGAGCGTTAGTGTGCGTTTTGAACTTCTTTTGAGAAATGAAATGACCAGAAATTATAAAAGAAAAAGAATAAACGGAGAAAATGATTTTGTTTGGATTTAGAGCACTTCCCCAAGCATTTTGTAGGCTTTTAATTTTTCTTCAGATGGACTCCTCGTAGCTTTCTTCAATATTAACTACCCTTGCGCTTCGTTATTTATTGCAGTTATGCCCCTCTTCCCCACAATTTATCGTCAGAAGAAAAACGCGAGATGATTTGATTTCTTTTGGTCGTGGAAGAAACAAAATATCCATTGGCCCACTTATATTGTTTTCCCGCGCTTTTGATGTTCGAATTTCGCTGGCAGGCGCTGTAAGAACTGCAGGGATGTGTTTTCTTTAGAAACTTCCCTAAACTTCAAGCTTTCGAGATATTTATATATTTGTATTACATAAAATATTAAAATTTATATATTTTATTATATTTTATACAAAAATTATTTATCATCATATTAATATGAAATAATAAAATATATTTTTTTAATTTTATTAAACTTAAATATAACTTTTGTTAAAATTTTTAATTGTATCACTTTCATGTCTTATATTTATATCGTATCGTATTTTAAATTATCAAATCTCTTCAACTATTATACCACACATACACACAAAAAAAAAAGCTGAAAAAATGAATAATTAAGTAAAAAATTAATAATCAAGTGAACTGAGAACTGAAACCTACAATAAAAACATCAATTTTATTAATGTTATGAACATAAATATTTTTTTTTAACAAAAATTAATGAAAATTTTGAGATTTATGTCAACAAAAAAATGTAATACTAGTAACAGTTCGGACAGTGTTACCTTTCTCTAAAATGATTGAATATTAAGATTTGGATCAATGTGCACAAGAAAAGAAAGTGCAATGGGGAAATAGCTGACTATAGGCAAGTTCATGTCTTTTTCTTGCTTCAATCAGTCAACTTGGAGATCAATTCCTTGAGGTAGTCACAGCGGCTGCGATGGTAGTCAATCAAGAGGCAGAGCTGCCTTATGGCTTCCCTCTTCTCTTCTTCACGACCCAACAATGTCTCATCCTTTTCTTTCTTCATATTTTCCAATTCTCCCACTCTATTCTCAAGCTCACTCACAGCTTTCGACAGGTTCAACTTTTCTTCTCCTTCCTCCCTCAATTTAGCTTCCAAATTCAAAACTTTCTCCCCCAACAACTCGTTTTCCTTTTCCATTTCTGCTACCACTAAATCCACATTACTATTCAGCTGTTTTATTCCATTTTCCCTGCCTGTGTCGCAGTCAATTGTAGAAACAAGCTCAGCTGCGACTTTTGAAATGTGGGTCAGGGAATTTCCATCGTCTTCTAACTTATTAATCACTGAATTCAATCCGCTCGCTGCTGTTTTGCCTGGCTCCGTTGTACCCCACAACTTCCTGAACTCAGCTTCATAAGTGGCAAGCTTTTGTTCGAGTGCTTCATTTTCTTGCTCTAGCTTTTCTTTTATTTTCTTGTGAATTTCCTTGTTTTCATCATGTATTTTTTCAGCAACTGTGATCCTCTGATACAAAAGACGGATGTTATCTTCAGCTTTCTTTTGGAACTCTTGTGCTAAATCCTCCATCTTTCTTTCTAGGGCATGGTAATTTAAATTGGATCCTGACAACACTCGTCTGATCAGCTTAGATTTAGACTCCATAGATTTGTTGGTGCTTTCTTCTCTTTCTTTAGCGATTCTCTGCTGATCCGCAATCTGCAACTCCAACTTGCTTTTCTCCATCTTCATGGAATCCAACTTCTGTTGCAGAAGTTCAACCTCCGCATTCAAGGTCATAATCTGAGAAGTTTCTTTAATCCTTTTACTTTTTCTGTCCTCCTCAAAAGCAGAAATCTCAAGGCCTCTCTCACACAATATTGCTTCCAATTCTAGAATTCTAGCATTCAGGCGACCCTTTTCCTCTCTCAATTGATTGATTTTACAAATATTACTCCTCTCTTCATCTTCTGATTTTTTTTGCTGCTTGCGTAGAACATCCACCTCTGATTCCGAGTCCATCAACTGCACCTGTAAGCATTTTTTTCCTTCTACCATTATCTGCTCAACGGTATTCTTTCTTGCTAATTCCTCTCTCAGGGTTTTCACTTGAATCAGATGCTGAGAGATTTCTTTGGATTTCCTCTCGAGAAGAATTTCTGATTCCATTTTCTGGCTGCGTATAGAATCCAATTCCTGCTTCATTATATTTGCCTGATCAAATGACTCATTAGTTTTGCATGCTATAATTCCTTCAGCTTCACATTTTTGGGAACATAAATAGTCCACCTCCTTTTTCAGATTATTAGCCAGTGCCATTGAATCATCAATTTCAGATGTTAAATTGTTCTCGTTGTCCTTGATTTGCAGAATGAGTTTAGTAACCTCATCTCCTTCCTTCGAAATCTGCATATGCAGAGACTTATCTGTCTCTCCTTGCCGTTTAGTTTCAGCTGTCTTACCATTAAGCTGAGCTTCAATAACTCTTTTCTGGCGGTGCAGAGATTCCAGCTCAGTTTTCAAGCCTGTTAACTGCTCCTCTAGCTCTGTTACTCGTTCCTTATGCACCTTTCCAAGAGCAAAAAGTCTATTTTCTGTCTCATTCACTTCTTTTCTCACATCTCTGTTAATGGTTTCTATTTCTTGTATTTTACTTAAAGCGGCTAGATGGTCTGAAGCTAAAGCTTCCTTCTCTTCTGTCTTAGAGGCCAATTGATGCTTCAGGTCAGCAACTTCAGCGTATGCCCTTTTAAGTTCCTCCTCCATGTTGCCCGCGATCCTTCTATGGGAACTTCTATTGTTATTAAATGCAGTGTTGATTTTTATATCCACGGAGGAATAATATTCTGAATCCGAGCCAAAGGCATGATAAGAACTTTCATTTCCTTTTCCATCGAGAGTTTTCTCACCTGACTTTTGTTTAAGATGATCATACTGGGCACAGAGTGACTGGTAGTGTTTGTGAAAGTCCTCAACAAGTGCAACAAGTTCTGGCTCCTTTTTCACTTCGTTTCTCCTCTTGATGAGCTTCAAGATTCTTTCCACTTTCTTTTCAACATCTGCAAAAAAAAAGGGAATTTCTGAATCTGATACATCATCCATCAATTGAAGTGACTATAGAAGAAAATGTTAAACCTCTCATATTATCTTAGTAAAAAGCATTTGAGACCTTAAAGCACAAGAACAAACACAAATTAGGAGAGTAGACAAAGCAATCAACATTAAACAATAAGAGCTACCTGAGATAATCAAAGAATTATTCATAAGCTGACAGTCGTAAACTATAAAATAGGATAATATTACAAGGCACTGTTAACTTTTCTCTATAGCGCAAAGTAAGGTTTTAGACTGATCCTGGAATGTTTCTTTTGCAGAAACATAAACATAAAGACAACCTTTGCAACTCACTAGTCACTATCAAAATAATCACACACTTGGTGAATGGCAGTGAATTTCAACCACGGTCCATTAATCCATACAGTATACACCTACTAGAGGAGGACAATAGGGGATTTTTTTTCTTGCAAAATTCTTATCGTTGACTATTGTCTTATCTTAGCTAAAAAGACATATAAAAGGAATATAAAAATGTAGACATGCATCCATTAAGGTTTACTAAAAAACCAAAACCATATGAAAATTAGGGGGAACTGTACTTTCTAAATGAGAAGCCTATAGGCCACAAATAAAACTGACTGAGATCATACGTTAGAAGTTGCCATCCAATTGATAGCAGAAACTTTAGATACACTTAGTAAATTAGGGAGAAAAAGTTTTTGTAATGGCAGTCATTGCCATCTTTGATTCTCCAATAATATCAAAGGATGATAAAAGGAGGGTAGCCAGGCGAGATATCAGCAAGGTTGCAAATTTGATTTTTACAGCAAAATAAAGTGCTTTCTTTTGGATTTCATTAGCTTTTACAAACCTGTTTTAGCCACTTCCACTTGCTCCGTCGTTTTGAACTTTTGAGTATCAGGATAACCCAAAAAGGTATTTGTCAGGCTTTATAGATTCTTATCCAGTATGAAACTTTGTAGCCAATTTAATGAATGAATCCTCAAGCCAAAAAAAAAGGCAATCTCCACCTCAATCACATCAAACTAAATCTCTGAAAATAAGGTGACATAACATTAATAAATTATTTCGAGTTGCGACATTCAAACATAGTAAAGTCTTAAACTTAAGCATATCCCTGAAAACAGTTTGGGCAGTCACCACATTTTAGATGGTTTACCATTTGTTTCTCCCTCTTGACTAACATAAAAAACTCTTAAACTAAAGGCAAAGTAGCAATAGAAGTAAATTACTTCATCTGCAGAGAGAAGAAAAAACAAGACCGTTGTAACATCCACACATCATACAGTGTCCACGAGAATTGTTACGTCGAACATTTATCCAAACCAAACTGCTCAAAATTCAAAATTCAAAATTCAAAGTCCTGCAAAAATTTTTGGTTTGGAAAAACCTGTAATGAGGCATGCCTGTCAAAATCTTGAATGTACATTCTTGACCTATCTCCATTAAGAATTCATTAATGAATAATGTCCAAAATCTTAAAAGGAGATGCAAAAACCACCCATTTTGGACACTATATCCTGAATCAGAGTCTTCAACAGTAATACCCCTTGGCAACAAACCAAGCTAACAAAAGGAGAAAAAAGGAAAAATCCTGTGTCTCCCTAAGGAATCTTCCTTCAGCTGAGGGATCCAATCTAACATGTATTCTAACAATGGAGTATTCTAAAACTACATAACTATACATGATTTTGACAATTAGGCCCACCAAAAACACGGTGGTCCAGTAATAAATCCAGATTTCCAAAGATTAGGTGATGACTGATGAGTAATGGTGCGTAAGGTTTGAGAAATCATCTTCAAAGACAACAACACCCCCCTCAGCCACCCATATCTTTACGCCTCTGACCTCAAAATTCAAACACCTTTTCCTACTTCCTCTTTAAAAAAAATTATACAAATTAAATATTGGGGTTAAAGGTTCTTAATCACAATTTTTAAATTAAATTATGGGATTACAGCACCGAATCGTTAACACGTTGATTAAGTGAAAGGTACATAAAATTTTATAGAATCCCAGTTCGGAATTCAATCCAAGCATCAATAGATTACAGAAATTAAATTTAATTGAAAATAAAAAATAGATGAAAATTTAAGTGAAATTAGAAAACCTAATTTACATGGAGGTATTTATTTTTTTCCAATGAAAATATGAAATTATTATATTGAATAAATTTTCTTCGTTTTCTATTCCATTTTCGCCGACAATCAAAAACGAAGGAAAAATTACATCGAAAACAAATCTTACCTTGAAATTGAAGGCGAATATTCTCTTTGCCGATCAAGATGCAATGAGAAGCGATAAAATAATTGCAAATGAGGAGACACTTTCAGGGAAAAAGAAAAATACTAATAAAAAAGGGCAATTATAAAATTAACCTTTTTTTTTTTAATTTTGGCGGTTCGTCTTTTGATTACAATTGCCCATTGATTTCGGTTTCACTTACGCTCAAAATCAGTGAATTAGCCAGGTGGCAAATCTCATTTTATCGGTTTGCGAAAAAACGCGATAATTTCATCTATTAAAAATGTGGCTAAAAGTTCCACGTGACGGCACGTGGGTGATATCCCGCGCTTTGTCTTTTGTCTTGTCCTAACTTGCATCTTTGTTCCGACGATTGCTGATGACAGACAGATCACAACATTTTTTTTTTAATATTTTCCCACGTGGTCTAAAAGGAAAAAAAACCTGTTTGGAAAGAAGAAAATTGAAGTAAAATTCATCAGTAACTGAAACTAAGAGTAATGCCATGTGGTGGAGCCTAAACTTCAATGACGTTTTCAAAAGTTGTGTTCCCATTTCCAGATGATAATGTGCTCTGCCTGTAGGCCTAAAACCAAACTATTTTCCATATTAAAACTTGTCATAAAGTCAAACTAAAAAGCTGAAAAGGGTAAATAGAAACTAATAGGTACCAAATAATTTGACAGTTTGACTTGAACTCGAGTGTTGAAATGGAGAGTCTAGTGCAGTGTTTCCCATATTAGACTTTGACTGGGGCATTTGCTAAAGGTTTTTGCCACCCCGCCCAGCCCAGTGCAAATGTTTTTCGATGACCATGCAATTACAATATGGAGAAAATTAAAAAATACAAAACTCGGCCATAGGAGACTTAATCAAAGTTGTATCAATTCCATTGGCTCATCGCTCATCGCCTGTTTATCCACAAATTAAAAAAATGAATAAAAAATTATTTAAAATGAAATTTATGCTGGCTATGGGGTTCGAACCCATGCGTACTTATGTACAGAAGATCTTAAGTCTTCCCCCTTAACCTCTCGGGCAAACCAGCTTTAATATATAGTTTTCAGGGAAACATATCTTAATGCTTTAACTGAGAATAGAAAGAGTGAGGGCAAGGGGAGGGATTTGATGGCATGGGAATTGCAAGTAAACACGTCAAGGCAGGCTAGCGTGAATGAATCCAAACTATGCCAAATTATAATATAGTTCAGCACACATGAATTTGGATATAGACATTATTCCACCATTCTAACAGTGGAAATAACACCGTCGATTCTGACATAAACTTGGTTTTCTCTTGAATTATTATTAGCATCACATGCAAATTAGTTCTTTTTTTCTTGAATTACAATTCGAGACTCCTGGTCCAGACTAAAGATATCAGACTTTATTTGCGGACAAATCGAATAACAATATAGCAGATTGTAACAAGAATGTACTGACCATACAAGGAATTTCATGAACAATGCTAACTCATTTCACATGATAAACTGCTTGTCCTGTAACACAAAAGAATTACACAGCTATGTATGCCTGTCATCAAAGAAAGAGAAGCAATGATGAAGCATTATCACCATTTGCTATAATATCACTATAAATGATATTCTTAAAACATCAACAACTATCAGTCAAGAAAGAAAAAACAAGGTAAAACGGAGGAATCACTCTTAAAAGACCCTATTGCGGTCCAAATTTTTGTATCATGTCTATAACTCCTAGCAAGCATGCAACTGTTTTTGAAGAGAAGTTCCATGAAGAAAATCATGAGATGAAGCAATAAGACAAAATTATCAAGCGTGACTTACAGAAAAAATAATTAAGTAATTCACTATCCCACCCAGTACTTGTCGTAAAGGGTTCTGCTTTGACTATAAAAATGCACATAAGTATGACCACAAAGATAAACAGCATAAAACAGTTGTTCGTGGGGTAAATAACTTCCACAACAACTCTGGCACATCCAAAGCTGGTTGTGTAATGGCAAGTTCAAAAATAGCTCTTACCCGCTCTATTTCAGATAACAATCTTTCTAACTCAGTATACTTACTACGAGCATAACAATTCTCAGGTGCCCACTCTTGATACTTCTCATACATCTTTCGACAACCATCAATATTACAAAGTTGTAGCTCAATCTCAATGCACTTCTTAAATATCCGAATGTTGACAAAACAACATAATGAGAGAACTTCAATTTATAAAACTTTTCACCATCTGGAAACCTACCTTATCTTTAGGTGTCTTTCCAATAGCTTTTGCCAAAATTTGTCGAGCACCCTTGAGATTAAGTTGTCTTATTTCAAACTGCACGGCAAGAAGCCAGATCTTGGCAAAAGAAAACTTCTTATTGGGAATAAGCTCAAGGCACTCCCTGGAAAATTTTTAAATGAATGAGGAAATATTCAAAGTCTATTATAACCACGCATCCGAATAGTGAAAAACACCCAAAACATGATGAGTAATTCTTTAGAGTGTATACTATGTCTATGCATGAGGGTGAGGAGAGAGACAACAATCAAAATAAAATTTCATATATGCTATAAATTTGTAACAATAATCCACTACCTACTAACTATTATAAAACCAGCAAATTCATCAAAACAATTTATGTATGTATGTATGTAAACTCTATCCAATGAAAAGCCAATAAGTTTTCCTTTTCCTCGTTGGCTAATTAAACATCGCCTTTCTAAGCGTCTGATGAAGGTTTGGGTATTATGAGTTGGATTATAATCATTAATCTTATTTTATTTATTATTGTTTCTTTAAATACTTATTAATAATAAAAATTCGTTCACTTAAAAAATGGATCCAAAACCCAAATAGAATGGCTTTAGACAAATTTGAGCTTAGGTTTGTTTATTTAAGCGTTTATCAAATTTCGCTAAATGAACCTAATGTTAACTCTTAAACTTGCTTCTATTCATTTTGACATGATACATTTAATATTTTACTTTTGTAATATTTCTCTTGAAAATTCAATTATAGTTGAGAATACACTTCATTTATTTATTTAAGCTTAATTTAATATATATTTTTATTATTTTGTAAAAAATAATAGAAATAAAAAAACTTTAAAATTTAAAATAAACAACAAAAATAAAGAAAATATATATTAAAAAAAGTTTTAAATTCCTTACAACTAATCAAATAAGCACATCACAAGCATAAGAGTTCTAACCACTTAACTCGACCTAGCAATCTAGATTAAGATATGCCGACTGCCCATACTTAATGCCATAATTCAGGACAAAATATTTTTTTTATTTTGACTTACTAAATCATACATATTTATTTTATAAAAGATGCCTCATGTTTTCAAGCAATATGAACATTCGACATTAAGTCAAATTCAATATCCAAGGATGTGAAATTCTTGTATTTATTATTTTCAATGGTTTGATGCAAGTATTCAAAGTTGGTTTTATATCAAATGACACTATTCATATATTAATTTATGAAAGTACTGTTAACAAACCTTACAACTTTGTTTATAAAAGACCCTTTGACAAATTGGAGAAATGTAAACATTTATACAACAAACCAAACTATGATAACGCAATTTATGTAAGATCCAAGCTCCCTATGAGACATGACACCTGGTCCGAACCTATTCGCCTGTAGCAAGATCACGTCCGACACCACACCAAACCACCTGCATTGCGTTGTTTAATTTAAGGGGAATTACAGGTCACAACAAGGGTTGAGTAGTAGCGTTAAGGGTTTTGAGATAACTGCCATAGCAAAAAGATATTTACTGAAAATGGAATGAAAATTTGATAATCGTTAACTAAGGAGATTGGTGAATTGTAAGTATTATTTTGTCCTTATTTTCTAGGTTTTTATTTTTTACGAGAGAAAAAAAAAAAAAAGGATTACCTACTATCTGCGGTTTTTGGGCAACCGACGAAGCCCATTCCTGCCTAACTCGACCATGACAGAAGGATTTCGATTGGACGTAGGTCGATCCAGGTGCAGGTGGGCACTGATAAGGCCGGAAACGTCAATGGGTTGGGCAATAAGCTCTGCCGAGGTTGATTACTCGAGAGAAAGCAGAAGACAGCAATGAAATGAAGGGTAAAATAGTGATTTCATTTATTTCCCCTCATCGATTTGTCAGTTATATTTATAGTTTTTGCTATAGTAGTGGTTAACTCCAAATAGTGATAAATTGTCCATTTTGTAATTCCCCTCTTTCTTCATTGTACTAGTCAGCATAAATTTTCAAAGGAATCTTCATTTTCTCTCGAATATCTTCCCAGTTCCCAGCTTCTTTTGCACGACGCAAAGTCTTCCCAGCTTCTTCTGCACGACGCTTTTCTCATTTTTTTCTTGTCTTACACAAAATGGCAAATGGGGCTACTGATTCGGCAGATTTGGGAGAAAGCGAGGTTGGCAATATCCGCAATTGGAGTGTTTCCAAACTGATTTCTTCCCTCAAAACCACTTTTCGTCCCAAGGATTTGGCCAAGGTAGAAGCGGTCCTAGTGGAGAGAGAAGACAAATCAAAGCTAGAGATCGAGACACTGAAACAGCTAAAGGATTCGTTTTTCTACAAATCCGAAGAAGATAGATTGGACAAGATGAGTCTTGGAGACGAGCTCAGAAAATGCAAGAAAGAGTGCGAGGAAATGAGGAACACAGTGTCGAAGCTACGGGAAGAGAACATGGTTTTAAGGGAAAGAGAAAAGCAGGCTAAGGAAAGATGCAATAATTTATTGGAGGAAGTGAAGAGAATCGGAGAGGAGGACAAGATAATGATCGATTTAAGAAGTAGGAATTGCGAGGTTGAATGTGCAAGAGCCAAGGCTGAAGGTGAGCTGGAAATATTGAGGAATAGATTTGAGGAGTTGGATAACAGGGTTTTGAATTTAGAGAGTGACTTACCGTTATTGAGGAATCAGGAGGATTTAATGAGCAATAAGATATGGGGAGAAAACGGGAATTCTGAAAATGGGGTGGCAAAACCCCATGAGACTGTGAAGGTGGAAGAAGTTGTTCCAACCTGTGATTCTCCTGTCAATGCTAATGGGAATTCACAAAATGCTGGTAAAAATTGTGAGCTGCTTCAACTTTCTTTGCGTTTATATTGCGTTTTGATTGGTTAACTTGTTTGGGTTGTTTGAGTTTATGTTATGAATTTCGATTCTATTCCTGTAGGATAAAAAGACTGCTTGTTTAACATATGTAGTGACATTGTTTTTCGTGTATGCTAGGTATATTATATTTGGTGTATTGGATTAGTATTGTGAGTAAGTTGATGTATCATTAAAGACTCGCATGTCCAGCGTAAAACCTCCTTTCTATTGAGAACCTTGTTCTGTTGTTGAATTGGTTTTCTTACTTGTTATGATCCTTGATCTGCAAACATAAATTCCTATCGTCAAGATTGCTTTTGGTGCTGAAGATTAAGTCGCTATTGAACAAACTATAATTCTGTTGGAGTTTTAGAATCAAGGGGGGGGGGGGGTAAATTGAAGACATATACATTGTTCTTTTTTTACTAAGTATGACTGTGCTATTGATTTGAGAAATTCAAGTTATATTTGATCATCAAGATTTTGGTATCATTTCTGGTAGTTGAACTGATACTTGTATCAAATAAAATAATAAATACTGAAGACTGGAGTATAACAAGAAAAGGAATTTGCTCTGACAGCTAGTATGTATTGGAGGAACATTAAAACATCAAAGCTGATCTACATACCAATATGTACCATGCTTCATGACAAAATTAGTTCTCAATTTTGAAATTACTGCATATAAAGATCATACAATATGTATGCAGGTGCTGGAGTTTGTTATGGGTGTCAAAAATCATAATACTTATCCAAGGGCCAGAATTTCGTTTACCAATATGGTTTATTGGGGCTGTACATTCTTCTGTTGTATCTTTTAGGTAATGATTGTGCTTTTGAAACAATGAAACTTTCCTGAAAAGCAATCAAATATTAATAAAATTATGGATCTGGCACCATGGCTTCCCTTAATTTGTTAATATAAATGATAAATTCATTAGATTTCCAAGTGTTTTAGAGCAAATTTTAAGAGCTTATGCTAAATTTACGTCTATGAGCAAGTTTAGTTTTGTCCTTAACATCTGCCAACAAAATTTTCTTTACAATTTCTTTGTAAACTTGCATGCCAGGAGTGGGAGACCTCCATCTCAAAACATTGTTGAGATTGTTGATATCGATAGTGATGGTGATTGTACACCAGTAGAAATTCAGAGTGAAAAAAGAATGACTCACCCTGCAGAGATCGCAAATTCAGATCAGAATTGTGTAGAAAATGGGATTTCAACTTTCAAAAGAAAACGAACTTCATCCATAGATGTAGGTGAGAGTAAAAATGGTGATGATGATGATAATAAATTGAATGGGAAGTTAAAGATGCAGAAACTTCAAGAACCAGTTTGCAGGCCCGATGATTGTCCTCTTAATCATTGCTTAACGACAACTATCTCTTCTGGTAGTAATGAAGTTAACAGAGGTTTTGCCTCACCAAGAGAAACTTCTATGGTTTCAAGACAATGTGCACAGCAAACGGAGTCTGTGCAGAAGTCTCAGAATCTTATGACTGGGTTTCCTTTGGATGGGCTTGGTTTCTTCAAGGAAAGTCCCTGTTCCTCTGATTCTGACTCTGATGACAATGATGGTGTTCATGTTTTCTTCAACCATTCTCAGCTTGCACCAGAATCTCAGAGGGAAAACTGAAATTAGCCACAGGAAGTGGATTGCTATTTTCTGGCTTCAGATGGGAAAAACCAAAGATGTCTGTCAAATGATGCCAATTGATAATTTATCTTTGATGCACACAGGTATCACTACAGAAGCTTTTTTAATATTTCCTGCCTTTTCTTCTTTTTGTTCATTGATAGTAAAGGTGAAGATGACATAGTTTCAATTTGATATCTTGAAAGATGTGTTCTCATACAAACTATTTACAGGCATGAGATTGTAAAGGAAAAGAGAGAAGTGGAGTGGGCTGTTTAGAGAAGAGAAAAAAAGAAACGTGAAAAGAGGGGTGGAGGGGAGCGTTGTCTGAGTTTTTCTAACATTAAGTTTGAGGAACCAAATGTTGATTTGTAACCTGTGAACTTTGCTTTATATCTAACATGACTCAAGTATATTGCCTTTTAGCATTGAAAAGAAAGTGGCTTCCTGTAAGTTGTACCAAGAAGTTGTTTACTTTCCTTACAATTATACTACGGTAGCTTTTCATGTACATTGGCTCCAGGGTTATTATTCTGGCCTAGCGTCAATAGATGGGGATCCATAGGTAGATCTGAAGAAACATGGTGTTGCTGGAATATGACCAAAAGGTCTTGATCATCATAAAGAGCTAGCTATTCAGCACTGTAAGCAACTATTTGAGATATGCCCAAAGAAAAGGTCCTTTATTGTTAAAATTGTAGACTGAACGAACATATATTGTTCTTGCCAGAGGTTGTTACTGGTACGGTGATAGCAAAGGAAACTCCAACTGTCAAGGGGCATTTTCATCAGGCTTTACTGTATAAATAATCATATGCATTAGAAGACACAAGCAACATTGTTTTACTGTAGTTTGTTTTAGAAGTGCGACTCTGCTTTATATATCACTTTTTAGTTGAAGAAGCTATCTAGCTTGTTAAAGGTTTTAGTTATTACTGAGACTTTGGGATGGGATAATATTTCATGAAACATTGGGGGTGAAGAAGAAACAGACCTTTGATGTGTAACTCACCCATTGAAAGTTGAAACATCCAAAAGAGAAGCAAAGAAAGATAAAGAAGGGGGAGCTGGGCTATTGAACGAGCCAGCCTATTGTTGCGGAGGACACATGGGATGGCGTTGAACTGTTATTGTCATTGTATCTTATTTCTGTTACTTATCTTTGTGAAGACTGCATTTATGATTTAAATGCGTCTTCTTTGAATTGCCCACTCAAATCGATTAAGACACTCTTTTGCCGAGGAAGTAAGTTTAAATGCAAGTCTCTTTCAATTCTTTCACGTTATTATGACGATAGTGAGATTGAAAAGATCACGCATTTGCAATGCTTGACGTGGTTTCCTCGATGAATTTACGTGTAGCAATGGATTAACAAATTAGAGCAACGTGGACTATTCATCTCCGCCTATGCCTTGTCGGTGGCAGCACCGGCAGCAAACGTGTTTCTCATTTATTCTTAGTATGTAACCTGAAAATTTCTCAAAAAACTGCAAATTTCACATCATGTATTATTTCTGTTTTTTTTTTTTTGTTTTTTTTAATATCTCAAAATTATGTTTTATTCTTTTTAATATCCAAAAATTTTATTTTTTTATATTTTAAATTATTTTATGATTTTTTTATTTTTTAAAATTAAAAATTATAAAACTTAAATTTTATAAAAAAAATTTAAATTTTATTAGTAAATATATTAAAATCAAATTTTACTTTTAAACTTTATAAAAATTAATACATAATAAATATTTTAGAAACAAAAAAAACTTATTTTGAATGAATAAGATCATATCAAAGTTATTAATTAATGTGGATATGACTCAAGATTATTCTATTATCTACTTAATTTTTTTTTTTTTTATCATTCAAAAAAAACAAAATCTTATATTAAAAAGTAAAAAAAAAATTGAGATTCAACTTCAATTTTGATTGTTTTTTTTAAATTATCTTAATGACTAAGCTAAGCAGCCGAAAACATTTACTTACTTATCTTTGAATCATAAAATCAAACGTCAAAGTTACATAAAACAGTGAACGAGTAGTAAACACCCACCCGAGAAGAGCGTGACACACGGTCGGGGCAATCAGAGAGTGACGGACAATGGCATTGTCGTAAATACCTCCTGAAACACGGCGCTTTTTTAGTTGAATTATCAATATCATTTTAATAAAAAGAATTTTACTGGCTGCCATTTTATCCGGCGTTTTGAGGCCCTCCTGAATAGACTTTCTCTTCTGTTTTGACGCACCAAAATAACCGAGGGGAGAAAATTAAAAATCTAGAAATTATTATTCATTACAAATATTATTTCCGCCGAGAAAAATTAAAAGAAAAATGAAAAATATATATAACTTTTAAGTTCTGCTTCTCCGACCGAAAGATATTTCTTTTTCCATTTCAGGCAAGTATTTACTTTATCTATCTACCTTTTTTCTTTCTAAAAATTATTCACCTCCTAGGGTTCTAGGGTCTTCACTATTCTTATTTTTTGATTTCCAGTTTTACCCTTTCTCGTTTCTACTTCACGGATTGTGAGCTCTGCACTTGGGCGGCTTAAGTTCTCCGGTTTTTCAGTTACAAGAATTGGTGCGTTATGTTCTTTTTTTTTTCTACTTTGTGCATTTTGGTTTGGTTTCTGTTTGGTTCCTGACAAAACGGAGGAGAAAGAAGTGATGAAATGATCCTTAGTAATTTATTTTGGCTGATGGTTTTTGGAAATGGTTGAGAATCAGTAAATAATAAGGACTTTGAAATTTTCATTTCATTTTCTGCATTTTAGCAACTAAACGAGGCGTTATTAGGTTTGTTAAAAATTGGGAAATTGGTCTGAAAAGTTAATTCGAAAAAATTTGGAGGTGGTGGCTTTGCTTTATTGGAAGTTATGGGCGGTTTCTGTTGCCTTGGGTTCAATTTAAGGAATTCGATTATTCATCTATGCTCTTACCTGTGTTTTTGGCGATGCTTAGACATTTTGGTTCACAATTTTAAGAAATGACTAGTTAATTGCTGAATATGTTTATTTCGTATTGCCCTTTGGTCCATGTCAAACACTGCACTTCATGAAAATTAAGGAACTGCTTATCTTTTATAAGACCATATGGGAATTTTTAAATCATATGAATATGCAATTGGCACTGCCCTTCTATTTGTTGGTCTTGATGATAACAGTTACAAACTTGGTTATAATGGTTTCTGACGATGAATTCAATATGCAGTGAAAGAACATATTGCCGAATGAAGTTTGCATTGTAATATGGAAGAAGGACTAGCTGACGAAGTAGCTCCAATAGATGGAGCTGAGGGGCCTCACCTTCAGGGCAAAGAGGTTGAGTATTTGGCGAAACCTGACAGCTGCAGCATGTTGGAGTCTCAAGAAATGGTGATACCGGGTGAGGTTAATGCTCTTGAGAGCTCTTTCCACGTTCTTGGAGCTGTGTTGGAAGGTAGGAATGCATTGGAACATGGGTGTACTAGCCCTTGCACTCTTGACGATGCAAATGACATGGTTGAAGAGTTAACTGTGAGAAATTACAATGGTTCTAACTTACCCATGGTTGGTACATCAAATAATAGAGAAAGAATGCAGATGAGGCAGAACCATTGGCAATATTTTTATCATTTGGTAGGTGGATCAGGAAGTGGGGATTCATGTGGCAACGGGGACAATGGTCAGGCAATGCCAAGTATGTCACGGGATGTAGGATATGCATCTTGTTCTGAATTTTCAGGTCACAAACCTTTGAGTGATGGGCGGAATGAAGCAACAGAACAATTGATGAGTGGTGACAATAATGAGGTTTCGGGCAGTCTGCTATCTCATGGAGGTATCAAGACGAAGATTCTATCAAAATCCGGATTTTCTGAATTTTTTGTTAAAACTACATTGAAAGGTAAGGGAATTATATGTAGAGGTCCATCTCATGGTGTATCTAGAGTTGAGCCTAGACATCAGGATAACACAAAATCTACTGGGGAAACTATGGTGTCTCCTAATCTTCCAGTGAAGGCTGCTGGAAGCCCTGTGGTGGCTTCTAATACTGAACTGATCTTGGGTAATAGAACCGGTATGACTTCTTCCAATAGGATCATAGGGCTGAAGGCTAGTGAGTGTGATCATGATGGGATGAACTTGAGAGAATGGCTGAAAGCTCAGTGTCATAAAGCAAACAAAGCTGAGCGCTTGTATGTATTCAGACAAATCGTGGACCTGATTGATTATTCTCACTCTCAAGGAGTTATCTTGCGTGATTTGCGCCCATCTTGCTTCAAGTTGTTGCAAGCTAATCAGGTTAGATATATTGGTTCAGGTGTCCAAAGAGGACTTCTAGATACCGTCTTGGATAAAGATTTCCCCCCTTCAGAGAACTTTCTGATTAGGAGAAGGCCAATGGAGCAGGGGCTGATTTCCTCAGTTGGTAATTGTGCTAAAAAGCAGAAGTTCAATGAGAACACAAACTTGACTCGGTGGCCTCTGTGTCATTCTAGAGCTGGCCTCAAAATTGAGACAAAAAATAATACACAATTTTCTTACAATGAATCTAGTGAGCGTTGTCCAAATACAGAATTCAGCAATTCTGGGATCCCTCGTGTGTCTGATACAGCTCAGCAGCAGTCAACCTCTGTGAATGAGCAGTTGGAAGAAAAGTGGTATGCAAGTCCAGAGGAACTTAATGAAGGTGTTTGCACGGTTTCATCAAATATTTACAGTTTGGGTGTGCTGCTCTTTGAGGTACAAAAACCTATTTTGCTGAATATCTTATATTTATTTTCTTATCGATTTTTTGGTCTGCACGTAAGAGAGTAGATAAATGATGTTTATTCTAAGCAGTTTTTGTTTCTTTCAGTTGCTTTGTCATTTTGAATCTGATAGAGCGCATGCTGCAGCAATGTTAGATCTACGTCATAGGATTTTTCCTCCAACTTTTCTGTCAGAAAATCTCAAGGAAGCTGGATTTTGTCTTCGGCTACTTTATCCAGAACCTTCTTTACGCCCAACAACCAGGTAGGTAGTACAAAATTTTCATCACTGCTAATGTCAAGCTCTTGAATCTTATAACTGATGTTGGATATGGAGAATCTGGAAATTTGACAAATTCTAATGTGTGGGCGAGAAATTTAAATGCATTATTAGACTATGATAATATATATCTTGTAAAGAAATATTTATAAGATACCATGGGATATAAAGAAAAAGCATCAGTAGGTTAGATGATGAACTGATTGGAGAATTATATTCCATCTATTGTTGGTGGAGAGAAACAAAAGAAAATTAATAAACTACAAAAACGAAAAATGTTGAAGCAGTTAAAATGCGCCATGTAAGGCCCATTTTGGAGATCTGCAGGGTATTGAACCTTCTTATGTAAAGGTAAGTATGTGTTGATGATAAATCATTTTCTGCTTTATTTTGATGAAGTTATGAATTTTAAGTGCCAGGTATATATTTTTTTTTCGGTGTCTTTTGACTGATGGCTAAGTTTTGAGTGTTAATGCTTATGTTAGTACAAACTTGATACCTTCGTGAATGGATATGTAAATGCTCAAACCCTGATGTACCTTTATAATTCAATTTAGGATTCTAAGTTTATGATTGTTGATGTATAACAGGGATGTCCTACAATCTGAGGTAATTAATGGATTCCAGGAAGTATTTGCAGAAGAAATATCATCATTCATTAACCAAGATGATACTGAAACAGAGCTATTATCGCATTTCCTTAGTTTATTGAAAGAGCAAAAGCAGAAGCATGCCTCTAAACTAGTAGAAGATATTACATGCTTAGAAGCAGACATTGAAGAGGTTGAGGGAAGGCACTGTTCTAGAAAACCTTTAACTTATTCTTCCATTAATGCGAGGGAATATAGGCACCTTGGTAAAGAACCCTCAATTTCGGCGGTGCATTCTAGCATATACCCATTTTCCAGTGCCAATGAAACAAGGTTAATGAGAAATATTAATCAGCTTGAATCTGCTTATTTCTCTATGAGATCGAGAGTCCAGTTTCATGATACTGATTCTATGACGCGGCTAGATAAGGATTTACTAAAACATCGTGAGAACTGGCATTTGGCACAAAACTATGAAGAAATGCCAAATCCTACTGATAGCCTTGGAGCCTTCTTTGATGGTTTGTGTAAGTATGCTCGTTATAGCAAGTTTGAAGTCTGTGGGATAATGAGAAGTGGGGACTTCAACGGCTCTGCCAATGTAATCTGTTCCTTGAGTTTTGACCGTGATGAGGATTACTTTGCTGCCACTGGGGTCTCTAAGAAAATAAAGATATTTGACTTTAATGCACTCTTTAATGACTCTGTTGATATTCATTATCCAGTCATTGAGATGTCAAACAAATCAAAGCTTAGCTGTGTTTGCTGGAATAACTATATCAAGAACTATCTTGCTTCTACCGACTTTGATGGTCTGGTTAAGGTTTGTATATCTTGCACACTAGGAAGATTTTATTGTTTACGGAACAGTATTCTAGAATGTTGATGAGCTGAATGTGCATGGCAACTTTTTCATATCCCTGGTGTACTTGGGGGGCATTTTGACTACATTCCAACCCAACAGTATCCGGTTGTCTCTTATATGTTCTTACCTCAAAACAGTAGCTGGTTGTCCTCAAAACTTCACCCTTGTCATTAGTTCTTGTGACACTTACCATTGAATGTCTTTCAGTTGAAAGTTGGTTGAACTTCTAGTAAATTTGGGTCTTCTTTTTCTGTTTCCTCTTAACAATTTTGAAACTAGTTGCTTTCTCTTATGCTGATCATAGCGCATAGGTGGTTGTTGGTATCTTCCTAATAGAATATAGGTGGACAAAAACAAAAAATATAGTTTATGGTATATTGGTTCTGTTATGGCACAATATAATTTCAAATGCTAAGCGGTTGGTTCCTGGAATAACTGTAATTCTTTTTAATGTGCTTTGCACACAGGTCTGTCGTTTCCTTATATGTCATAAAGCTTTATGCTGTTAAAATTACTTTTAATAGTTTTTAAATTTCCTGCATTGCTCATTGATACTTGCTTGGATGGGATCCAGTTATGGGATGCAAGCACTGGTCAAGCTATCTTTCATTATCCTGAGCATCAAAAGAGAGCTTGGTCTGTTGACTTTTCTCAGGTGTGTCCAACAAAATTAGCTAGTGGCAGTGATGATTGTTCTGTGAAACTATGGAGCATTAATGAGGTATGTTCTCCTTCAGTCTCTTATGGATCTCATAGTACTAGATAGTAGGTATCTTAATGAAATTTTTTTCCCTGTAAATGAATCAAATTTGGTAGAGGAAACAAACAGACTGTATAGACACAGAAGCTGGATCCCAAACCCAGTCTAAGTAAAGCGTACTGGTGCAAGACACACGTTAGTCTCCCTTTTGTACATACATTGAATGTTATATTCCGCTTATCAAAGAAATAACTTGTTCGAGAATGTCTACAATTCACTGCTCTTATGGATTAAGAATAAACCCTTTTTTTACCTCATCGTATCGGACAAAGAAATTAATAGAAAAGATTGTTCTGGATCATCATTGTTTGTGTACAAATGCATAGAATTTGATCAGTGTAAACTTTAAGTCTTGGATGAGCTACAAAGATCGCAAGAAACTGTCATCGTGTGTGTTTATGCATGTTGTGCATGTGGTTAATGAATGGTAACTGTTTTTTGCATAAACGCATTGAAGATCTGCTATCATTCAAGGTGTCCTGAAAGCACTTCTCTAATTTGCCTAAGCTTATGGGTTAACCTTTGTTCCCCTCCTTTCTGGTGTAGAGAAGCTGCTTAGGCACCATCAGGAACATTGCAAATGTCTGCTGTGTTCAGTTTTCTGCTCACTCCACTCATTTACTGGCATTTGGATCTGCGGATTACAAAACATATTGCTATGATCTTCGGAATACCAGAGCCCCATGGTGTGTTCTTGGCGGTCATGATAAAGCTGTGAGCTATGTGAAATTCCTGGACTCAGAAACTGTAGTTACTGCTTCCACTGACAACACATTAAAACTTTGGAACCTCAATAAAACTATTAGTGGTGGCCTCTCCTCTAATGCTTGCAGCTTAACCTTTCGTGGGCATACTAACAAGAAGGTTGGCATTTCTCTGCTGGAAAATAGTTTTTTGTTCTTATTATATCTTGACCCTGGCAACCCTTTTGTATTCATTTGTGTTTGGTTTGACCTTTTTCCTGCTCCAGAATTTTGTGGGATTATCCGTTGCTGATGGTTATCTAGCTTGTGGTTCAGAAACGAATGAGGTATTAATTTTTTTAAGCTTGGTTTTCTTCCTTTTTTCTCGAGGCTGGGGAAATAGGGGGATCTAAAATCACTCAGTTAGCAAATTCAATATCTATTTCTTTTGGCTGTGAAGCACAAACTTATTGAAATGTTGTGTCCTAGGTTTATGCTTACTATAGATCTCTGCCTATGCCAATTACTTCGCATAAATTTGGGTCCATTGATCCCGTTTCTGGAAAAGAGACCGATGATGACAATGGGCTGTTTGTATCAAGTGTTTGCTGGAGAGGGAAATCAAGCATGGTTGTTGCAGCAAATTCTAGTGGATGTGTTAAAGTGTTGCAGATGGTTTAAGGAGAAGGTTAATTGCTGGCATCATTTTTGGAACCTGAGGGTCGCCAAGGTTGCTTCTGGAGGCTTATTCTTCATTGCAGTGAGCCAGGGTTCAGGCAAATATGTATCATAAATGGGACGACGCTGAGTCTGAGTGGCTCATTATAAGGCTTTGATGCGTAGAATATACTATGCAAAGTCAGCCAAAGTGGAGTTGCGGTTCCATGTTATAAAAATTAGCCAGAACTAGATTCAAGTGAAACTTTTACAGGCCTAAGAATCCGGAATATCATGATGCCTCCAGTGTCCCGAGATAAACTAATGTATAAGAGGCATTCCATCTCGGTTCTTGGAGCAAAGATTGTGTGGTATTTGGATGGGTCTTATTTCTAATATTGCTCCTTAAAACAGATGTGCAGTCCTTTTTGTCTTTTCAATAAAGGACTAGCGTGGTTTGTTTATAATATAGCTTAGAGGTGTTATATATAATTGATAATTTACTCGATTTTAGGGAATTCTTTATTGGGTTGTAACTAAGCATTCAATAATTCTATGTAACCATGGTTTTTACCTCTGTAAATCTACCAAAATTTGATGTATATGATAATTTCTAAAAATTATTTTTATCAAAATTGGTTTATACTTTGTAGTTTTTTATAAAATGACATACCGCTATTTTATAAAATATTTATTTATTAAGCATTAATTATTTTTTCTCTTTTTATAAAATTATTTTAGATATTTTATATTTGATGAATTTTTTACGTAATACCAAATACAAAGGTTTAGATTTTTTTTAATATTGCATCAAACATTAAACCATTTTGGTGATGTTTTATCATCATAATAATTATATTACTATGATAATTTTAAAAATGATATCAAACGTTATTTATATTATCATGATAATTATATTATCATGGTAATATTACACTAAACATTAAATTATTTTGATGATCTTATATGATATATCATTTTTTTAATTGCTTATTTTTACACTAATAATATTATCTTATTATTATTTATAACTGTAGGTTCGCATGAATCCAAAGTAGTTTTAAAATTATTTTTAAAAAAATAGAGTTCCAAAACTAGGACGCATGAGAGGAAGCTTCTGCCAAGTGTCTGTCTATGCTTTATATATGTAATCTCTCAACTTTCTTTAGAAATGAAAACTGAAATTAAAGAAGTTAAACTATAGGCCAATTCTACATTTTACTGTAGTAATATACAGTCAGAACAAGGCAAGTGTTCTTTATTTCTACAATTTCTGATTATACCATTTCTAATTACTCAAATGATGTCTTATCTTTCTGTGGCTTTGGTTTTGGCTTTGGCTTAATTGACACGTATGATTGCGTGGTCACTTCGTATTTCCACTATTGTAGGTTAAAGGTTGTGGAGAAGCTTTTTGGTTACCTATATATATTAATTTGCAGCATCTATTCAAGGATGGCTTGCACTGGCAGAAGGTACAATATTTATATACGTATGTAGGTATCTCTTGTAAGCCTAGTAGAGGACGAAGTGAAGCATTGTTTATATATATTACTTTATACAAATTTTTTTTTCTTTGCGAAATTTGTACCATGTTTATGTGTGTAGGAAAATACATATATTTGTGGTACTATGTATGGTGCATTTTGCCTGAATACCTCTGTAAACTGTCAAATATCAGTTATTAATAGGCGTTGTCTTTCTATTTCATGCTTGGAGTGGTTTTTAATATGGCAAGGCTACGTCCCGGATGACTTCTGGAGTGGATTTGAGAAGGGCCCTTGGTGGCAATGCCTGCCTTTTCAATGGATATTGTTCTACTAATTGCTTAGTGGTTTTGAATCTTGGATCAACTGGCTTACTGGTTTCATAGCTGCTGACAAAATTGTACAGGTAATGGTTTTCTCTTTCATATTTACTTTGTTGTTGCGAAGGTCGTCTGTTGCTTATGAAATGAACATGCATCAATTATGTGCTGCATGCGCTCATTCTGAAATGCTGTTTGAGGTATTCTTGCAACGAGATACGCAATCGTTAAGCATCCATCCGTTGTTAATATGTTATTCTCATATATATTGCCATTTTTCTTGTTTTTTAGGTTTATTCCACATCAGTGGCAATGCAACTCCGCCAAGGTCCTATCAGCATACCTATTCAATTTCAAGCCTACAGTTCATGTAAGATTCCATGCATGCAATCAGAAGTCCTACGATTCTTAATGATGGAGCTTCTGTCCACTTGAATTAACCAATGTATTAATTGTTAAGACAGACAAGTGATTTTATGTAATGATGGTTCAATTTTCCATGTATTAATAGATTAAAAAGGGTTTATCCAATCACCTCCCAGCTAGGTTGCTTATCTGCCAATTAGGCAATATATAATAAGCAAACCACCAATCTCGATCCTCCTTGCATGAGAAATTGAATTGCCAAAAAGAAACACAGTTTATAGTCACATTATTAATTAAATTAATTAGCTTTAAAACTTTTTTAACAAATTAAGAAATTTTCATCGTGACAGAAAAGAAAATAGCCCTTCAAAACTTGATGTAGACAACAGAAGCCATAACTTGTTCCTCATTACAAGTAAAATACGTATAAATGGAAGTGATGAAGGAGATAGTTCTATTCCTTATTTATTCTAAATGGAAAAAAGGATATTCTTGGTCTTAATATTTTGCTGTGGAAGATTCAAGAGCATAATGAATGGTTAAACAGGATGGAATCTTCATGCCAAGAGATCAATGATTGTTGGCATTTGCTGTGCGGTTGTTTTGCCAGAACTTCTACATCATATAAGTTACACGAATGATTGTTGGCATTTGCTGTCGTTAGAAACAGATTCTAAAGCACTACCATGTGAGAAAATTCCTCAAATTACAAAATTAATTTGCATAAATGAGAAAAAAAAGAAAAGAAAGTATTCCCTACTTCAAGCAACATCATCTTTTCTTTTTTTTTTTTTTCCTAAAAGAGATGATATCTAAAAGAAAAAAAAGTATATATTAAATTTAAATTTAATACTTACTAAATATTATCTTTTAATAATAATTATATTAAACTTAGGATAGAGTATCTTAGAAGAAAATGGTTAAAAACTAAAAAGAGGAAAGAGGGAAAAGCGAATCGACAAATGGGGGAATCAGAACCGAAGCAGATGGCGCCAACTAATGTCATAGGCTGTCACGAAAGAAAAGGTAAAAGAAAGGGCAGAGGGACGAGTGAATCCAAAAATATCACATGGGGGTGACTCAGTTCGGTACCCCCCACGTCAAAGTGCAGCCCTAAGCTCGGAAACATGCGGTTCGGTTCCATTCCACAAATTCTCTCCTTTAATTCCTTATCAGTTACCGTTTTTCCCGGTTTTGTATCCCTGCCTCTAGCGCTGCATATAAAATCATGTACAACCCCTCCTCGTCTTTCGTTGCACATCATCAAAAAACCCAGATCTCTTTCTCTCTCTGCGAGGTTGGTCTGAGCCGTTGCAGGAGTGTCTTTGAAAAAAGCTAAAATTTGAGAGACACCGCAGAGAGAGATCGAGCATTTTTTTTTTCTTTTTTGGGACGGGAGAATGGCAGTTTCCAGGGTTTGTGTTGTGGCTGTTTTTGCAGCTCTTGTTTTTTCTGTGATTGTCTTGCCTGCTTCTATTCAGGCCCAGTCCTCTGCTCCTGCTCCTGGCCCCACAAGCGATGGTTAGTTCTCTCTTTCTCTCTCTATTTTTATTTAGATCTGACTTCCGAGATCAAATGCCAATTGATTGAATGTTTAAACATTTAACTTTTTTGATGGGCGCAACAGGGACGTCCATTGACCAAGGGATTGCATATGTGTTGATGCTTGTGGCTCTGGTGCTCACATATCTCATTCACGCTGCTGATTTCTGCTTCAGCTTTTGAGCTTGCAATTGGAAATTATGGCTTTTTTTTTTTTTGGGGGGGGGGGGGGGTGGGTTAAACTTGAGACTTAAGAGTGTGAGAAAAAACAGAGAGATGATGGGGTTTGTTAGATTTGGTAATTCTGGGGGAGCGATGGATGATGTGTAACCATGGTTCATCTGATTTGAGTTCTAAAGGTCTGTAATTAGAGAATGACAAGACTTTTAGACGAATTATTGTTGGGCTTTTTGTGGATGTTGATAATGTCATTTTTATGTTTGGTGGTATTCTCCTTATCATTTGTCAGTCTCTTTTTTGCCTATAAATCTTCCATTTCTGCCTCATTTTTCTAGCATTCTCCCCATGCTCTGTTTAAGGGGCTTCCAATTTTATCATCTTCAGTACTAATTGACTCAAGTGATTCTGGAAAACTATAATAATGCTGTTGTAGGTTCCACGGCTAAGATGATCTTAAGATCCTTTTACATTGCCGACATGGGTTTCTTGCCTACACAAAAAAAATGCATTAAAAAAAAAAAAAGATGGCATCTACCATGCCCCAACCTACTTGCAATTGTAAGTCTTAGATGCTTTGCACACTCTTAATTTTGGGTAGTTCTTATGGATACATCAATACATGATGGCGGTAAAGATAGGATGCCCAGGGACGCCAATGTATTCTAAGCAATTCAACTTATCGAATTATACTACTGACAAAAGCTATAGTAATGGGTTTTGGATGAAGAAGAATTAGGTATTGGTAGATTTCTTAACCGACCAAGAGGTTGAGGAACAAGAACGAAATTATTGTTAAAGATTTTCATATAACAATGCTGTCTAGGGCTACAAAATCCTATAGCTTCTAAGCTCCAGAACGTGCTTCCTGGCCCTTCAATAATTTCTGGTTATTACATCATAAAGACTTGGTAATTAATCCTTCAAGCAGACCAATAAGCCAAACTCCAGGGAAATGAAACGAATAACTAAAACAGGAAGGCATCATCATTTTCAAACTTTTATACTTCTTCGCACCATATCCAAAAGACAAAACATTCTTCTGTTATCCTTAATCCTACAAGGTTCTAATACAAGGTAGAATGATTAGATAGAAGGATGCAGCACATGGGAGCTCTAAACCAGATCACAACTTTACAATATTATCATAAAAAAAAAAAGCAACACAATTTATTTGATGTTCAGACTCAAAACTAAAGAATGCTTGACTTTTGCAGCCTCTATCCTAATTGCATCTGGTAAAATGAAACAGCCTTTGTGCCTGATGAGCAATCAAACATCACAACTTCTAACCTTTCTAAAGAAGTTTTCAACCAGAATCAAATGAGTGCACAATACCATGTCAACTTCAACATTTAGTATGAATTTTAGTTCTCAATGGAATGGAGACATTTTACTCTGAACATCTGCTATAGTAAGAATTGTTAGAAAAAAGAACTATGTTTCTCAACATTAAATGTTCAAAATGCAGTAAAGCCTTCAGGGGATAAAATTCTTCCAACACAAAATTTCATCAATTTTTCTTGCTAACTGGTTCTGTATCCCGAGAGTGATGGTCTTGATTATCTAGTGAAAAATTCTTCACTTTCTGCAGAAAAAAACACTTAGAAGATACAATTTGTTAAAAATGGTTAAAAGATATAACTGCACAAGAAAACAATAGTTAAGCACACACGTTTGAATGTCCATGGATTTGGATGGATTGTTACAGACAGACCACTTCACCCTGGACCACCGTTTTAATGTCCAAAAGACCGATTCTCTTGTCAAGTATTAGGTGAAAATATCACCTAAACATCTAGCTTTGCCTTTATATTAGTATCTGATCCGATGACAACATATAATGCCCCAAAAGAAAAGAGACATATGATTTAATTAAACAGTTGAGGGTAGGGATTGCCAAGTGCTGCTGTTTGGAAAATGGTACTTTACGGGATAATATATATATAGTCGGGGGAAATGCAAACCAAGTGCAGAGAGACTGAGCAATGGGTGCATGTAACTGCAATTCCACAAGAATTTTTGTGAGAGCTTAAGGGTTTCAATCCGTATCCCATAAAATCTCTGTTCTCATATTACTGTGGTATCGGTAGCTGAAGTACCTCTTTGTCTTTTTTTTCCACTCTTTTTTTTTTATTATTATTTTTTATTATCGTTTTCAAATGATTGTACGTTTGTACGCAATTTTCTCGTGAAGGATGTCAATGTGCAACCATTATCACCATTCAACCGGAATTAGGGAATGAGACTTTTGGAATTCTTATAAAAAAATTTTAAATTAATTTTTATGTAAATACTAGGGTATAGTACTAAATAGAACCTGATGTATTTCAGGTCCAAAGGCGGTTGATGCTTTCATCAGGTCTGGTACATGTTGTCAATGCGTTTCACCGGCACAATTTAGAGTATAGGGCATTAAAGGCTTAATTCTTCTTTGTTGAATTAAGAAAATGAAATTCGAACTTTTTTTTTTTTGGGTCATTTTCGTTTAAGGGGCCGAAGAAATAGGATGAAGCCCACTAAATTATGGGCCAATGAGCCAGAATTCTTAAGTGGATCTCCCAACGAGCCACACTTATCCACAATGTAGGGTCCAAATCACGCGGATGAGATGGGAAAGGTCGGTGGGACCAGAGGTGGATCACAGCCGTACCCTCGGACGAAAAAACAATCAAAACAATAATGGCTGAGCTGGACAAAGGGTGGGGACTAGGGATCAGTGAGTACGGGGGAGGACGCCAAGTTGCACTAGTTGCACTGAAGGCCAAGATGAAAGACCGTTAATCTGTGTACGGCCATGATCGAATTTCATAGCAGCAGGACCTGGAGAATAACAAAGATCTTCTGGCTTTTTTTTTTAATGAATCTCCAAAGTTTTGGAATTTTGTGCCACGCCCTCGGCTTCGCCGCTGCACCAAAACAAACCATCACCTTTCTTTTCTTTTTCATTTTTGTTTCTTGAGAAAAGTAAACAAGATAAAAGAGAAAATTTGGGTTTGTAACACTTTTTTTTTTTCAATTTTAAATCAAAACTATCTCAAATTATTGACAAACATGAATGTCTTTAGTCGTTTTCAGAATTTAAGTAAAGATAGATATGGCATGACAAGTTATAAAATCCAATAATTTTTTTTTCTTTCTCCTTCGTTAGGGAACAAAGGGGTGGGGGAGTTTTGGTACGTTAAATAAATGATCATGCAATGTGTATGATCGTGAGGACCCCAAAAAATTAAATACCCAGAAGAAAATGACCCATGACTTGAGTGTTTTACTGTCTTTATTCATCAATTGGGGAGCTAAGCAGCAGAAAAATCCCAGTTGTAGGGCTCTCCCCCAATAAGTTCTGCCATTGAAAAAATTTTCATGGCTCAATGATTATATAAGCCTGCAAATCTACCACCTCCTCTGATTGGCCAAATTAATCTACAAAATCCCGACTGCTTGCTTGAAATTTTACCAAACACAGGTCTGGAGTTTTGGACATTGTTGGGCAAATGGGACTGAAAAACCCCAAAAAAAATTACATAGACAAAGGTCACCAAAACAAAGAAAAAGACATTATGGGATTTAAGAATGTTTGTCATGCATTAGGGAAGTTGGGCCTGGGTGTGGTTAGTTATGAAGCAGTGTAGTGTAAGCGTTAGCCAATATACTCTTTGGATTTAGCATTGACGGATTATGTTAAAGGCAAGGGAAAATTTTTGTGGCGCTGCCATGGTTCAGGGAAAGGAAGTTCTCAGTACTAATGAGTCAAAATCTTGTGACATTTGTACTCCTCCAGCTAATTAGGGGACCACGATTTTGATACGTTTCATCAAATCGAAAAGTACTGTTTCATGACTTGGTTTTCACGTTTCTACTTGCTTTTTGTTTGTTGGATTATAAATAGTGGATTTTATTGTTCAGCTTACACTAAAATAGCAATGAAACCAAATCCACAACTTCAATTTTTTTTTAGGATAATCACATGTTAATTTCCCCACAAGCTCAACAAAAGAACGGTCACATGTTAATTCTATCACACGTCACGTATTAATTATTATAATTCGTAATTAAATTATCATAATAATTGCTATTAATTACTCTATTTAATACAAAAATAATAACGCTTTAATTAATAGTGATTTAATTACATTTAATGAAACATTAACTCACTAGGCTATAGCAAGTGTTTCACTTGTGTAACTACTAGCTAGTGGTACACAAAGCTGCTAACTCCATTCCTTTGTAAAATATTTTGGTAACAATTAGATCCTTCTTCTTTTCCTGGATGGTTCAAAGTAGAACTTCATTAAAGCGAAATAAATTATTGTTTTAACAGATTAAAACAAAGATTTAAAATATGCCCAAATAAATGATAGCTTTATTAACATTATTATTATATTTTCTTGTGCGTTTGTTCTTTTTCTTTTCCATTGTTGTTGGTTTTGAATGAGTATGGTATATTTTCACTGATATTGATTCTTTTGTTTTATAGTGTATTTAAAATTTAAAATAAAATATAAAATTTTTAACATTTTTAAAAATTTTAATTTTATATAGTATCTTAAAAAGTAATAATGATCAAAATTCAAAATATAAACAAAAAAAGTGGGATAGAATAACCAGTTTTGATTTTCGCAATAATGCAGACAGATTCCATAATTTAAACACTATATTAGTATTAAAAAAAAAAAAAAAACTTTTGAAATGTTGTTGTCAAGTGAATAACACGTGCCTTCCAGAATAAAAGGCGTACTTTTGCTAATTAACAATTTAACACTATATATTTAAAAAAAAAAACAATTTAAATAAAATTACAACAGAAACAAAAACTGGAACAGAGGGAAAAATAAAAAGGAGAGCCGATATTTTCGGTTCCGCCGATTCAAAACTCGCCGTAAAATTGGCATTACACGACAAAATCAAAGAAACACTCCCAAATGGCTAACAAAGCTCCGACCCGAACAAATCTCCGATATCTTGGAAATGATCATCGATATGTTGCCAGCCCGAGAAGCCGGCAAATCCCAACTCGAAATCTCCAACCGAACAC